TAAACCATTGGCTTGAGCCCCAAAAGACATAACCGGGTGCACCGCTCCTTTGTGTAGCCGGTAACGGATGCCCTGGGCTATGCGCAGACGATGCATGATGCCCACTCTGCCCTTGCCCTTGAGGAACCTCTTGCGGATCTGAGGCACCCGTCTTCGCCGACCAGCCGTTGAATCCACCCCCAAATCGCGGAGAACATCATAATGTTCCGGATCACCTTCTTGCAGCAGGGCCTTAAGGGCTTTGGCGGACTCCTTGGAGCTAGTGAGGAAACCCGTCTTGTCGGTGTTTAAAACCAAGCCAGCTTGCTCCATTTGCCACTTGAGGGTGCGGAAAGCACCAAGTGCCTCTCTGGCCGCGAAGTCTGCATCCCGACTGTGGATGTCGAAGCTGACATCATCAACCCATGTCTGCAAAGAAGCTGCAGGGTGGGCTTTGACCAGCGCTTCCAGTGGTCGGTAGAGGATGAGCTTGGAGATGGCTGGGGCTTGAGGACATCCTTGAAGAATGCCTTTGTCATAGCGCCGAGTGTTTCCATTGATCCCTTCCGCTTGCAGAGTCCGGGGGCCCGTGTACAAGTCCAAGGCAAACTTGAGGTGCAACGGGGGATAGGCCAAATCCCTGGCAGGTTCAATGATCTGGTCCAGGTCCACGTGATCATAGAAGCAAGTGAGATCAGCGAGGCAGGTGACCGTGTGGATACCTTGATGTCGAGCAATTTCAGCATGTAGCATTCTGCCAATCGCAATGCTCAAACAATCTCTGCCTGGTCGAGCTTGATCCCAAGGGAGCTTATCATCCAGAGACAATTGCCATCGTTGCAGGTCTGCTTTCCTGTAAGAACACCAAACCCGGTAGATGCAGCTGGTCAGGGCAATGGGCCTCTCCACCTTGCAGTTCTTGGGGATGAGCACAATGTTGGTGGCTCGAAGCTGGACAGCCAGCTCACCCTCCCTTTCCATGGTGGTCAGGAGGTCTGCCAGTTTCTCCACAGCAGGAAACGGCAAATGCCTCAGAAAATCATAGGAGATGCCATCCGGACCCGCTGCCTTGTTGGGAAGTCGTCGGAAAAGTTGCTGCAGCTGATACGATTGAAAGGGTGGGAGTTGTTGCGCTTGATCGATTGCAGCCTGGCGGAGAAGGTCCCAGGAGCGAATCGGTCGAGGTTCGTCCCGAGGCTGCCAAATGGCTCCCCATTGAGCCTCCCGAGCCTGTAGTCTTTCCCCGGCAGGGAGGTGCTGGAAAGGTCTTTGCCAAGGGATGTCTCTCTGGCGAAGGCTCCGAAAGAGACCACGTAGGCCTTTCTCATGGGCTTTCTCAAGCCAAAGACGGTATTCCTCATTTGTGCTACTGAAAAGCTTCTGATGGGCAAGTTGCTCTTCTTCAGCAATGATCCGTCGAAGTTCGGTGGGCTCATTCGTAGGATGCTCAATCCAATGGCCAAGCAAAGCCTTGAAGAGATCTTGACTCATGTGCTCCGAAGCATGGGCCTGCAAGCCATCCAGCATGTTGAGGAGGTCATTGGCAACCCGTCCATGTTGGGTCTGATGGACAACATTGATGCGGACCTTCATCTTTTCCCAGAAGGCAAGATGACCTTTCCGCCACGTCAGAGACCGGCCTTGATCAACCAGCGGAGCGTTGTAGAGGTGGATCCGGCTGCCTCGCCCCGTGGTGGGATTGTGGAGGAGCTGTGTGAGGTACTTCTCAGTTTGGGTGGCCCATCTGGCCAAGTCGGATCCCAACCCCGTGATGGGTTGGCCCATGATGTGGAAGGGCCCATCATCTTCCCAGAAGGAGGTCCATGACGCCGGCAGCTGCATGGTGCGACCAATGGGTGGGAAACGTTGGAGCTGTGGAACTTGGATCTCCGCTTGATCGCAATGCAAATCCACCATGAGTCCACAATGGGGCTTCCATGGGACGTCCCAATCCACTTGAAGAGAGACACAACTAGCCAAAGCTTGAGCTTTGAACCGACTTTGGATGACGGTGGCCGCTAATGCCTCCGGCTCATTTTGCCAGTCGCCCCCCACAATGAAAGGTGCCTGAGTCTGCTCAAGGAAAGCCAGAAGGTTGCCCAGGATGGACGCATTGAGGGGTGACTGCAGGGTTTCGCCCGTGCGCAAGTAGAGCTGGATGAGGAAGAAGGTGGTGCTCTGTCGTTGAAGGCCAAGAGCCATCCAGCCATTGCCTTCTTGGATATAGGAGTGGGCCACATGAGTGAGGTGACGAGTGCCATGGAGAATAAGGAAGCCACCAGTGTTGCCTCCTCTGCCCGTGGGTTCCGCTGGAAGGCCATGGCTTTTCCACCCTCGAGTGTTGAAGTATTGTTGGGCTTCTTCCATCTTCTTCTGCCCAAGGTGCGTTTCTTGGAAAAGGAGAATGTGTTCTCCTTTGGTCCAAACCCAATCTTGCGCCCTGCGTCCAAAGGAGGTCACATTGGCAAACACAAAGTGCAAAGTCTCCGAGTGGTGTCTGGCTCGCTTTGGCTGACTCGGTTCCAGAGCTTCAACGGTGTCCGGAACCAATTCTCCACTGCATTCGTGAACCAACCAAACTTGTACAATTTCTTGTCGGCGGTTGTCCAGCAGGTGAGGAAGAGGAACCGGAAAAGTGCCATCATCCGCATACCAGTAAGCATTGTCCATGGCATGGATGGCCACATAGTGCCCGTTTTGGTGTCCATGGCCTTTGTGCAGAATCATGCTGACGATCCTGTAGGTAGCTGAGTGCACATTGATGCCATCCTCAGAGAAGGGGATGGTGATGGTCGTAGAAAGTTCCAATGGACGGTTGTGTTTGGTCCACTGGCCCTCAACCAGCAGGGAGCGTTGGATGTGGATGATGAGGCCTCCTGGTGTGCCGTACAAATATTGTCCCCCTTCTTCTTCTGCCCAAAGGTTGACGATGTCATCCAGGGAGATCGGAGAGTCACCGCCCGGGCAAATCATGTTCAAGGGAATTTGCTCACGCTCGTCCAAACGCCCGTCCGTGGTGACATGATAGAACTTGCCGCCGATGAAGGTACCATGGGCCAGGCTAGCCAAATGACCCACAAAGTCCCCGACGTCCGCTTGTTGGCCCTGTTGAAAGTGGTGCCAAAGAGGCTCCAAAGGGGTCAAGTCCCTGAGGGAAATGGGTTCGTTTTCCTCCAGAAAGGTGCGTACAGCCTGGTGTGTGCGACCCCAGGCAATGGAGGGATCTTCGGCATGTGCTCCAGCCCAACTCCAGCATCGGAAAGCGGAGTTCCCAAAGCAGAGATTTTGGGAGTTAAGGAGCCGACTGGTCAAAGCCTGCCCAATCACATAAACGTTGATGGGCAAATGTGGAAGGTCCCCTTGAAGTGCCAGGAGCTTGTGGAGAACGGTTTCCATGCGTTTGAGATCGACAAGAAACTGTTGACCTTGTGCACGGTTCCACCCAGCCTCAAAAGCTCGGCGCGATGTCCAAAGGTCATGCTTGCATAGATCGTATAAGGCCTGTTGGCCCGGTGTCAAAACTTCCTCATGCATTGGATGATCATCATCATCCATGATGCTAAGCAAGAGCCTGGCCAGTCGATCCCGTGGGGTCCCGTGGTTGGCAGTACCCTTGAAGGTCCGCCCTGAGGTAGTGGAACTCGGTGCCCCTGGGTTAGACTGGTGGCTCTCGGCGGAGATGGTAGAGTGGCAACCACCTCCTCTCAATTTGAAAAAGGTGGGCTGCGAACGCCAGGGTCCATAGGTCCCGCGGCTACCCTGGTCCTCGTTCGAGCCTGGAACAGCTAAAGGTTCAAAGGAGTTGACTGTCCCCGCGCAACTCAATTGAGAATCCCCATGCGGCTGAAGTGATTCAGCAACCCCTAATAGACCCACATCCAAAGTGGGAGCATTGACATCTCTCTCCGGAAGGTTACCCACACGACTGGGTCTCAGCTGTTTTGCGACGCTTGTTCTCCTCCTCTGTTGGGTCCGTTGGAGGTCGCTTCAACATCAAACTGAGCTGAGCCTTTTGATCAGCTGTGAGATTGACACCTAAGGTGGTGATAAACCCAGCGACCGCGTCTGGAACTGTGTCTTCCATGGGCTGACCATCCCGGAGTGCTTCGGCAGGCTTCTGTGTGTTGACCAAGGCCATATAGGCAGCACTCGTCGTGTTCAGGGCAGACTGCTCGGCCTCAAGCTTGGATTGAAGGGATTTCATATCTTCCAGCATGTCCGAGTATGTCTTCTTAGTGGAGTCAATCTTTGCCTGAAGGACCTGTTTCCGATGAGACAGATCTCTCAAAGCAGAGACTTGGGACTTCAACTTCAAGGCCATGTCCTTTTCTGTCTCTGGCGGCGGACGCGTGATGCGCTCCACCAACTCCTTGACCGCAGTAGGCAGCTGAGCCATGTTCTCTTTGAGGACGTCGGTCAGCTCAGGCTCCTTCTCTTGGGCAGGAGGTTTGATTCCTAGCTGTTCCAACTGAGCTTGCAGCTTGGAATCCAGGGAGCTCCAGGAGGTAGTGAGCAGGTCCGTGGTGGCTTTGTGAACTTGGCCTATTTTGGAGCCTCTATGCCCTCCTAACCCCGGCGGAGGGGTCACTGGCTTCTGTCGAGGAGCAAACCTTCCTTGAGATCGGGTAGGAGATCTTCGGGAGGAAGGTTGACTGCTGTATCCTTGAGGAGGTCGTGACCAGGCCAAGCCACATTGGCGACAGACATAGCCCTCACATATCTTGTCTTCCCAAATCCAGTTAGGGCATGCGGGTCCTCGGCAACACTGGTACGACCTTCTCCATGAGGAAGATCTTGAGGACCACTCCATGCTGCCGCAGAGGCCACCCTCTTCAGGTTCCGGGGTGTCCGGCTCGAAGTCGCGTAGTGCGAGGAACAACAGGGAGGAGAAACCTGCGCCTCGAGCCGAAACCTTGAGCCCTATTTATATATATATATTTTATATATATATATGTATACACGCATTTATATACTTAGTATCTTGTCAGCGGTGGGGGGATTGTGATTCGCACAACTCCAGCCTCGCACAAGAAAATGACTGCAGGTGGAAGCTTGGGATACCAACCTTGAATTGACACGGTTTTGCATCGACACCAGAATCGCTGGACTACGCATCTGAGATTCTTGCGGCCAGTTGTCTTATCCATGTAGTCTACGCCAAAGGTGTTGCAAATTGCCCTGATGTGGCTGAAACTCTCCAGCTTTCAATGAAGACCAGTTTCCACACCAAAGCTACATGATCTGACTGTCGGAAACCAACATGCTGAATGAACAAAGAGGCGAAACAGCAAGAAGGCTCCCATGTCTTTTTCGCACGGCTTACTCAGAGGTTGCCAAACCAAATCGCTTGGCCTCGGCTGGCGATGGATTTGAATCGAGCTACATCTGCACAAGCTTTGCGAAAATCTGCTTGAATGCCCTGCCTTCTTCATTTGTTTCACGGTGTCCATGTCTTTCGCATTGCGCTTGCGGTGGTCAATGATCTCTTCCCGTCGCTTTTCTCGCATTTGAAATCGATAGAAATCGGGCATTTCCTTCTGCTTCTTTTTCTTCTTCGAGGGCGCGGCGTTTCCTCTAGATGTCATGGCCTCTGCAAAGGCGCCAATCTTCATCGCTGGCCGAGGTGCACCACGAATGGTCAAGCCATCTGGAGTTTTGGTAATACCAGAGATGACCTTGGTAAATCCATCCTCGTCCACCTGCGTCTCTCTTGCCAACCTCTTCTTTTCTTCCTGTTTCTCATCATAGTTTGCCATCCACTCATCAATCTCACGCCGCAGGTTCGTAGGGTCCTAGGGAGAACGTTGAAATTAATCTCGCTATCAGCTTCGGCCCACGTAGGCTTACAAACACCTTCGCAAAAAAAGGGGGGGACAAAGTCTCAGTCTCTCTCTCTCTCTCCCTCTCTCTTCAAGCAAGTGTCTGGGTAGAAGGATTTTCTGGCGCGCAAACATTCTTTCAACACCGGAGCGGGCGGGGGTAGCACAGCATGAGAGACTCGACCAGTGGCTGCGTCCAAAGCATTTTGCAAAGATTGCACCTGGACCAAAAAGACTCTGACAGCAGGAAGTATCCAGTGCTACGGGGGTTGCTGAAACCGTTCCCTACAGCGAGCAATGGTGAGCCATAGCGTCCACCTGCACGTTGTAAGTTTTGAGCGATCAAGCGACGGAAGCGCCTCTTTGAAGACAATCCGAGCAAAAACCACGTGCAGCCGAACATGATCCTCCCTCTGTTCGACCTGAGGTCATGGCATTCGACTAGTTTCACTATAGTTAGATAAGTATACATCTATCAATATATCAATATCACAGCTCCTGGTGAAAGCATCAAGAAGATTTGGACAAACGTCTGCGACAACTCAGTCAAACTGCCGCGCCCACCTTGGGAGCTCTCTTCTCCACGCATTTCAAGTCGACTTTCCTTGGAGTTCCAACGGGTCTGGCCCAAAGTCTCTACAGAGTCCCCACGGTCTTGCACGGTCGCTTGAACTGCCGAGTCTCTCCACTGGCCCAAAGCTTGAGAAGCTCTTCTGAAGCTGTGCCTCTGTGGTGAAGGTGTCCAAATGGGTCACAAACAGAGTTCGCGGGGCACTCTCCTGGTGACATGGAAACATTGGAAAGAGACACAGCATCATAGAGCTTATAAGCCTCTGCTGAACACTGCCATTGCTTGTCCTTCTCTGCTGGATCTCTTGCCTCATGCTTCTTCACCAACAGGGTCCTGCTGCAGGATCCGGCGCGGTCGGGCCAAAGCATAAGTGGAAGGCGGTCCTTGCAATGGGTGAGCCTGCTACCATTGGCAACCGCAGCAGTTTGTAGCCACGCAGTTGTGACTGGCCCGCAGGGCCATTCTTACCACGCGCCATGTCACGCCATGTCAAGCCGTCTGGGGAACACACTAGGCAAATTGTTTTGAGGCTTCTATGCTACATCCCAGGAGGATTTAAACCCTATCTTTGTTCTACTCAAAAAAGTGGTTGTGACTTCTTCACCTCAACATCAAACCATCTGTCTGTGCAAGTTCTGGCCTGTTGAAATGAGCCAATCCAGGTCTCAATCAGAATACACACAGACTCTCTTAAATGTTGTTTACAAGGACTTCTCAGTTGTTGTATTGTTCAGCAAGCAAGACAGACATGTGCCTAATAGGAGCGCCAAAGTTTACAGGAGGATCATCACCGTTCAAAGTAGCATCTTGACGCTGAATGACCTGCCAGGAGCAGAAAACGTCTTTTTCAGAATGCTGAGACCCATTGGGTCTGGATGCAAAAAGAATCTGAAGGCCAACCCGGTCTGATGAACGTCTCATCAACCAGAAGGATCGAAATGAGTACCACAGTTACCACTGTCAAAATTATTTGCTTCGCCCACGGCCAAAACAAGCTTGACCTTTATTGGTGTTCAGTTGGTATTTGCCTGGTAAATCCTTTTTTCTATGAAAAGGCTGCCGTTGGCCCCTTTCGATTATTCAGAAGTCCGGATAGTCTAGGCAAAAGGCAAAATCACCTCCTTTGTTAGTCTTCCAATAATTTTCTCGGATTTTGTCGGTTGCTCAAATTGTATGACAATAATTGAGAATAGACATGCAGAGTTGTGACAACTCCACAAGTTGTTTATGTATTCATTTGGGCCTGTGGAAATCGTCTGCGCAACTCGGCTTGCAGGGCGTCATTGTTTGGAAAAAGATCCTGCGATGTTAGGCAAAAAATAGGCGATGCGGCAAAGAAAACACTTCGACATGTTTTCAGTCCTCGCAAATCTTCTCAATGCTATTCACATACTCGATCTTCTCCCAGAACTGCGGTGTCAACCAAGCCTCATCTAAACCGCAAACAAGCACAAACACGACTACGACTACGACCACGACCACGACCACGACCACGACCACTACGACTACGACTACTACTACTACTACTACTACTACTACTACTACTTCTACTTCCACTCTTACCACTATTACTACTCTACTACTACTACTACTACTACTACTACTACTACTACTACTCCTACTGCTACTGCTACTGCTACTGCTACTGCTGCTGCTGCTGCTACTACTGCTGCTACTACTGCTACTACTACTACTACTACTCCTACTCCTACTACTGTCAATCTGCTGATGGGAGCTGTATGTGAAAGATGCATAGGATCGAGCATAATAGGACCACATTGTCACACGGGTCCTGCCAGGTCGCCCAGACACTGTGACGGCAGAAACTGGCAACTGTCGGGTCCCTGCAATACATGGAAGTGGCACGCATTGTTCCCGTGCAGAACGTAGAACCCTGAGTGCAGGAGTGGAGCACAACAAGCTAGTCTACAAGAAAAGAAGGCTAAGTTGCTAAATAGTCAAGTGCTGAGAAGAGGCTCTTCAGGTTCTTTGTGTATTTTCTTGGCCTGAGTCGCCCAAAAGGTCCGGTCCCGGCAACATGCCTGACTTCATTCACAAGACTCTTAGGCCCATGGCAATATGTCAAAAGCTATTTGAAGTCTTTCTGCGAGCACAGGTGCGGACCAGTCCTTGATGTCGCATGGATTTCGCAACAAATGGTAAACCGACACAGCCCTTTTTAGGCCCTTTCATTCCCAGTCCCAGGCCATGCCAAGGCAGCAATAGACAAAAACATACTTGCTCTGCATGGCAATGTCGTGCATATGCCTCAAAGGAAAGCGCATTGCATGGACATTAGATGACATGAGGGACTGGTGACAAGTTGAAGCATCTTGGAACTGGCTGTTACGCGTGGATCAGGGTGGTCCCCCAGGGGTCTTTTTGTCCCACAAGAACGCTTCACGTTCAGGACCGATTTCCTAAGGTGTGGACTTGAGGATGAAGCGAAAGGCTCTATCCAACTCATCGTCATCAGACAGGATGGGCCTTAGTTGGAGGAGATCTGCCTCTCGACACTTGCGACAGCGAGGACTCGGCCGGAGAAAACCTGGAGTAAACATCACCAATCGTTGCCCTTCCTCAGCAAGGGCCATGCAGAAACTAAAGGATAAGTTGATTCAGAATATTCAGAAACTAAAGGATCCTGGGCCACCTACAGCAGTTACCCCACAGTCCACCAAGAGTTGAGCATCCCACCTGATGCATCACTGGTCTCCAGGTGTTTTTCATCACTCTAGATATGTTTAGTCTTTCTGAATCTTTTTGAACTCCAATCCCAGCGCGCAGAAACGGAATGAGAGGCCCTGCTCCTCTGGAAATGTGCCTCAGCTCCAGGCACAAGCGATCAATATAGATCAAAGCTTTCATGTTGGTTGATGATCAAAGTGTTCAACTCAGGCTGAGGATGACTGCATTGTGCCGCTTCTTCAATGATCTTGAGATAAGCATCTGTCACATCCTGGAGAACGACCCTCTTTGGCCGGTCACTGAGACACCGAGACCTACGTCGACTGGCGCGCACAGTGCGCCATCAATGAGTCGCCGACTGAATCAGCCCTGCCAAAGCGTCCACAAGAATCAACGTGTACCCTAGTAGCTTCTTGTTCCTAGTAGCGATGCCAGGAGCCCCTAATAGCGTCCTTGCTCCTAGTAGTAAGGTCAGGAGCCCCTAGTAGCGTCCTCTTGTTCCTAGTGTAGAAAAGCAGCGCCAGGGAGACCGGTTCTTCACATCCCACTTCACCTGTTCCAAGTCGGCCTCCGAGCTGCCAAATCCAAAATGAGCTCTCAAGAGCCGTAAGAGAAAAGGCCACTTGCACCTCCTTCCCGACAGATGTGAGGAATGGTCAACACTTGCCAAAACTAAGTGCCCCCCCAAAGCACAAGACATTACACCAACCTAGATCCCAGATAGCATCTTGGACCACAAAGAAAGCCACGAGGTTTACCGCCATGCGGGGCCATGCGGCAGCTCCGTCTCTTATCACCACCAACCCGATACCAAATGGAAAATACTAACATATTCTATTAGGAGGGCTAGGCCGCTAGGCAAGCAATGCAGCTTGATGGGATCCAAGGACGGCTCCAAAACGAAAAAAATATATAACAAGAACTTGCGGTTCCTGAGTCCTAGCGTTCCAGAGTTTCAGGGAGCTGCGTTGTCAGGAAGCCTGGTTCCACAGTCGCAAAGTCCAGAGTTCAAGAGTTCGAAGTCTTCAGGGTTCAAGAGTTCCAGGCAAAAAGGTTAAAACAAAAGCAAAAAAAACGAAAAGCGTATGGTTCCCAGCATCGGAATGACGCTTGGCAAGTGGTGATGGAGACATGGGACCCCTACACAGTAGTAGCGTCCGATCGCTCCGTTCGTAGCGATGCCCTTTGCTCCTAGTAGCTTCTTGCTCCTAGTAGCGTGGCACTTGTTCCTAGAAGCGATGCACTTGTTCCTAGTAGCTTCTTGCTCCTAGTAGTAAGGCCAGGAGCCCCTAGTAGCATCTCTGCTCCCAGTAGCGATGCCAGGAGCCCCTAGTAGCGTCCTTGCTCCATTCGTAGCGATGACCTTTGTTACTACACACCGGAGAATCAATATGTAGTACCTAGTTGTGCCTCTACATAAGCGCCTGGAGGAGGCATCAATGCGGCATGAACTATGTCTTGGCCAAAGCTTGGATGGCTGACAAATAACTGAAACATGTTTCCGAGCATCAGGGATCAGGTGGATACATGTGGATAGACTGCCCACTTCAAGGGGTCAACTGGATGTTCTTCCTGCCTTCCTGCCTTCCTTCATCAATGCTTATGTCGGTCGCTATCGCTGGTTCAGGTGGATTGCCAGGATACCACCACCCTGGTTGGATTGCCAGCCCATGTCCATCCTCAGCTACTGTAACCCGATGTGACCGTCCCACGACTTACGAAGCGGTCCACTGAAAAAGCCGCATATCCCTTGCTACCTACCCATTCATCGCGGGTATAAAGGGGGTAAGAGAATGAGTTCAGCAACAGAAGTCATAGTGACACCTAGCGACCCAACCCATTAAATATATATATATATACATATGTCATGGTAATTTCTGAGACTCGAGATGTACATGTATGATGAATATTGATGAATCATTTTGAGAACACCAAAATACAGAAGCAAAGCGAGGGTCATGAAAGTGTGATACTGGCACTGAACTGCGTTTTACCTTGATCAAGGCAGGTCGCATCAGATCAAGAACTTCGTGCTTGAACATACAGTGTTAATCAGATTAGATGTCTGTCATCTCAGGAATGCTAATTTCACGCTGACATGACCCCATAGCGAGAGCTGGTAATCATTCTGATCTTAGGCGGTTTGGAAAGTTTCTTGGTTTGATTGGCTGTGTTGGAAGTCCATCCTTTGAGCGACACGTGTTTTCTTAAGCGCCGGGATGAGATTGGCTTCCGCCATTGTCTCAATATGTCTTGCGACAATTATAAATCCTTCTGAGTTGGCAGTATGGCTGAGCGTAAATGGGACAGTGAGCGCTGCTGTGGTCCCCTTGCCCAGTTATCGATTGGGCGAAGTAATGCTTGTGAAATAGCTGGGTCGTTGGGGCTGGGGACATGGTGGTTACTTGGTGCTCCAAAAGGAAATGCAGGTCGTCTGTCTTGAAAAACAAGTGATGTGGTTTGTCTTATACATGCAGGGTGTGCTGAAGAGAGTTATTGTAAATGTTTTCCGTAGCCGTAGAAAGTTCCACCTCCGAGATGATGCGCGTCCTGACATTGGCTGAATCACCAGAGCAATAGATGCAATAGACTGCAATGCTACTGCTTAGCTCAAGGTTTGCTCAGCTACTGCTGAGCGTTTGCTCCTTGATTCCTGGCACACGCTCTTTCGAACCTCAGATTCTTCAGGTCGGAGTTCGGTCCGCGTCCGTGGCTCCATTCAGCAGCGGACCGAACGGCCGCGTACATCAATGCCATCGCTGCTGGCTTGTCGGATGGGTGCTTGCCGTCTGCCTAGGAATGCAGAATCACCGAGAAGCGGGGTTCATTCTGCACATCTAGGAAGCCGACTCAGGCAAAACCTGCAGAACATGAAGAATATCTGAGGTCGGTATGGCAAGACTCCAATTGCCAAGAGCCCTGCTGGCTCCACATCTGCGGCAGGCTCTGTTCAGCATGCAATCTACGTTGAACCCTTCCGTGATAGCTATCGTCTTAGGGCCATGTGGCTGCATATATGTACTACTAGATAGCTGGCGTCTACACAGCTCCCTCCAAACCGTAGACCAGAAACCCAACAAAACCTTTGCCTTGGCACCTTGGCCGGTTCCTGTAGGTTTGCCATCGAACAAAACGGGCCTTCCAAGGAAGCCATTCACATTTTCGGGTCTGTTGCATAGTCCAATTGCTTGTGCTTGTCTGGTGTTCAGCCCTACATAAATTAACTGAAGGATGTGGTCGATGTGATCCTTGATGAGAGGGCAATGGCTGGAGCCTTGGAAAGCTGAACGAATCTGATTCGTTCAACTAACTCCAGACAATCGTTGTTTCCACAGTCAATAGCAATGTAACACAACGAGAAAAAGTTAAACAAAACCAAATACTGGTTACATGTACAATGTGTATCAACGGTATTGTACGATGTTCTATTGGCATCTTATACTGTAATATATTTGCATATTATAGGCGGTGACTGCCCAATGTATTAATGAATTAATGTACCGTATCTTCCATTAACCATCTTATATAGTTTGCTATTAGGTTGGAGGGCATCGCTAGTGGGTTGGAGGCCGCTAACAGAAACAAAGAGAAAAGAAAGGATGACAAGTCTTATAGGGGCTCCTGGCCCTACTACTAGGAGCAAGAACGCTACTAGGGGCTCCTGGCATCGCTACTAGGAACAAGGACGCTACTAGGGGCTCCTGGCCATACTATGTTTTCTTTGCTGCGCTTTGCGGCGCTCTTCCCCCGGAGCGCTCTCGGGGAGCTTCGAAGCCAGCGCTTCGCTTTCGCGCCGAAAGCTTCGGCTCCTAGGCGACGTACAGTGGAAGAGCGTCGAAGGTCTGGGGGAAGTCTCGGTGACGTAGAGTGGATCAGAAACCAGAGTCCTAGTCTAGTTGATCGTTTCTTAATCGCCTCTATATAATGATCTCTAGTGAGTGTTCAAGAAAGTATCTCTGCACGCTGTCAGCTTCCTTGCTTTCCAGCCGGCTGCTTTCACCGGGCATGTGCTCACTCCCACGCAAATTTGTCGCCATTGTCCTGCCAGGTCAAGCAGGTTTGGTACAGCAGTTGTCGCTTTACCTCACTGGTGCCCAAGAATATGCAGGCCACTTTTTTAGCGTCTTTTGTCGCTTGGCCGGCACAGCCTTTCTTCAAAGCCACAATCAGGGGAGCTTGGAGTAGATTGGTTCAGCATATCCATCCGGCCTGGAGCTTAGCTTGGAGCAAGCCACATTATGTCTGGCAGTCATCGTCCCAATTGATTCATAGTAGATGAAGCAAGTAATTGCTCAAAAATTAACATTGGAGATATTTGAAATCACTGGGTCTAACTCTACAAAGGGGGGTGGAATAAACACAGGTGTCTACAAGTCCATTGTATGAACAGGGGGGCAGGGTCAACAAAAATCCAGCAAAAAAAAATGACGAGACTGGTCCAGGTTCCACGCACCACGGGGTATACAACGCTGTAAGTGACGCTATCACGGCCCGAAATTACGAAGATTGAGGGGGGGACTACAAGGGCTTGCGATGGGGTTGGGGCTTTGAGAATTAGTGCTTGGCGGCTCGACCCATGGTGGAGATGGACCCCAATTAAACCATATATATATATATACATACCTGAGAAAGGAGAGGACGAAAGCCAGCAAAAGCGCACGGATTTATTTAGTGTGCGCGCAGCCATCGCGCACACGCAGCATTCTGCTAATGATGGCCACAGAAAAAAATCACTTAGTTATTTCGAGTGATCCCCACCATGACTATCTGCTGACATGTCCAATGATCCCCACCAATTGTCCGGGTGAAGGTGCAAGGAACTGAGAAGTAACAATACGTGAGCCAACACGACAAAAACAGCGATGCCCGAAATATGTGTTTTTCGCGGTGATCGGCGATATTTCGGGCATCGTGTTGAAGTCTTCCACACATGGCCACAGAAGAAAAATATCACTTAGTTATTTCGAGTGATCCCCATCATGACCATCTTCTGACATTTCCAGTGATCCCCACCATGACTACCTTCTGACAGCTTATCTGGCAAATCGTCTGACATTCTGGCATATCTTGTGGCATGTTTTCTGGCAAATCTTCTGACATGTTATCTTCTGACATTCTACTTGGCCTTTCTGCTAGGGTTCCTATCTTTGTGCAGTGCCTTTTGAAGTCTGGCATCGGAAAGTGAACAATCGCCTTTTGCCAGCCAAAGCTCTCGGGAAACCTCTTCTTTTGTCCGTCATAGCACGCACTCCAGGGAACGAGATGTGGCCCTTGGGGAGGAATTCAACCAGAGAATTTGGCTCGGGCTCTTGAACCGAGAGCTCGAGGAGACATTTGCTTTTGGAGGAGGAGAAGTCACCCCTGCCGACTATGGTTTCCTTGCGGACAGTGGAGATCCTTTCCTTCCCTTTCCTGCCAGTTTGGTAGAAGTTGCAGTGGAGAAGTATCAGTTCGTGTCTGCCGAGACCGATTTGCTGGAGAAGCCGTGTGGCTGGACAGTCGGGTGGAAAAGCTAGAACATGCTCTTGCGGACATCCAGTCGAGTTTAAAGACCTTGCTTGTTGCCCATCGGCCTCCGGCCTTGAGAGAAGGGAGAGAGCCTGCAGAAACCGCAGCTGCATCCGCCTCAGCAGCCGCCGCTCCGAAGCGGCGTGTGAAATTCAGCGGCTTGGACCCAGGTGTTGTTCGCTCGGCTCTGCAATCTGGCGTCCCAGAGGCCCATCTCGAAGAAGTTGCCGCCTTGCTTTCAAACGGGGTGGCCGAGGCTGCAGTGAAGTCGACGAAGATCTGCAGCCAGTTAGCGAAGCAGTCCCATAAGAAGAAGAGAGATCCCTTAGAGTTTTTGCTGGATACCAGTGGCAGCCACGACGTGGCAGACGGTTCTGGGTCGGTGGCATCCAAAAAGAGCTACGCTCTGAAGATGCTGAAGCGCAAGCTGGTCGAAGATCCGTCGTCGCTGTATCAGGCCATAGAAAGCAACATGCTGTCCGACTTTTCCTCACGGGCCGTCCTGGAGAACCCCTTGGCAATGTGACGTCTCGAGGATGGCTCACAGAAAAAAATCACTTAGTTATTTCGAGTGAATCCCATCATGACCATCTTCTGACATTTCCAGTGATCCCCACCATGACTATCTTCTGACAGCTTATCTGGCAAATCGTCTGACATTCTGGCATATCTTGTGGCATGTTTTCTGGCAAATCTTCTGACATGTTATCTTCTGACATTCTACTTGGCCTTTCTGCTAATGATGGCCACAGAAAAAAAATCACTTAGTTATTTCGAGTGCTCCCCACCATGACTATCTGCTGACATTTCCGGTGGTCCCCACCATGACTATCTTCTGACAGCTTATCTGGCTAATCCTCTGACATTCTCTTCTGGGGGCGGTTAGTCGTGCATGGGCTCCCCCCGTGGTGTCCAACCCTTTCGACTCTTTTGGTCGTCGGGTGCTCTTTCTCAAAGATCAAAGTACAAGAAGAAAGCTCTACAAAAAATTCACGGACTTATTTCGAGTGATCCCCATCATGAGTAGCTTCTGACATGTCGAGTGATCCCCAATTCGAATGATCCCCACCAGGACTATCTTCTGACATTTTATCTGGCAAAGCTTCTGACATTTCTCTAGCAAGCCTTCTGACGTTCTACCTGACCTTTCTGCTAATGGTGCTCCAGAAAGCAAAGAAAAATGGTCTCCAGACCCTTCGTGATGCTAATGATGCACTACTCGGCGTCATTTACATCACTTGCATCACCGAACCGCTTTTTTTTTTTTTTTTTTATGCTTTCCCGACTCTACTTTTTTTCGCTCTCCCCCACCAGGCTCAGGGTTCGACCACCAAAATCTGCCCGAGTGGGACCCCCCCCCCCCACACCCTCAATATTCACTTCGTTCACCCTAAGAACTCAAGCCTTGCCTACCGGCTGGCTTTCGTATATATATATATATATGTTCCTTTCTGTCCTTTTTATGCAAGGTTTGGGGTTGTCACCAGCAGGAATTGTACGCAAGCCATGGGGCAATCGCTCCCAGGAAGCATACCTTCAGCACACCTTTAGGGAACATCACTTGACCGTGCTATCGGCAAAGCTTGCGAACGCACAAACGTGAGGCGAAAGGCGAAGAAATCGTCTGAGCTCGATGAATTTGCGGAGATCGCGCATGGCCCTGGTTGCTTGGTATGGCTGGAGGGAAGCCTATCCCAGGAAACTCCAGGAGCCTTGGTACAAATTGTATGAAGCCATGGGGTTGAACGGTTGAACTATTCTTGGGATATCATAGTGGCCATTCTCAGGAAATCTCAGGAAGTTGATCTTCCTAATAACGTATGAAAGCAAGGGAGGAGAAACCGCCCTCAGGAAGCATACTTTTGTCAAGGAAATGTATGGAAGGGGGCGGGGGAGATCCATAAGAATCATCATATCATCAAACCGACCAAGCCACAAAAAGAGTATAAAGTCATTTACCTGGGAATGAAATCTGGACTGCGAGGTTATATACATTTTTGGGAGGAGTACTACATGTATGTGACCCGGTGATTGTGTGATCCGACATTGCGTCTAAATCGGCACCTGTGCTGCAAAATGGTCACTGAGTTCTGGAATTTCTTGTGCGGCCTCGAGCGAGAAGAAAGCCGAAAGCACTCCCACACACAACAAGCTCCCTGGACTGAGCGACACATGACAAGCGCCCCGGCGTCGTGCTTTTTTGCGCACTCCGGACAAAATGATATCTTCATTAAATGCTCAAGGTCAGTCATTCACACTCCACTTTTTTAGTCCACTTGTATCCGCAATTGTCCACATATATCATCCAAGGAGCTCCAGCAAGCTCAGTACATTGTTGGGAGGACCCCAGGGAGAGGCCGAGATCTAAGCAACATCTGCAGGAAAACACGACGAATGGCCAACCCAACACGTCTGAAGTGATAGAATCTGCTCAGAACGGCTGAAGCATCGAAACAACTCGTAACCAAACTGAGTCTAGCACATTCTCCAGCCATCCACGAACAGATGAATTGGTCAAAGTACTGTGAAGCCTCACTTCGGCTGTAGGTCTCTTGTTACATGCAAGGAACTACGAATGCCCGGAATGGTTCTTTGCTTGCTTCATGGAATCATGGAATGTATCACTGTCTGCCTCATCTCACACGGGAGCCGAGATACAGTATCAGAGCACCAGGTGCCAAGTGCGGCCATAGCAAGGAAAGAAAGCTGTCGATGCTAGCCTTAGAAGCACACACTGTGATGCAATGCAATCTGCTGATGCAAAATATCTCTCAGGAACCTTACAATCCAAACCGAAAATGAAATGCACCGAAGACTAATTACGTGTCTTGACCCGGTAAAATCCAAAGGACACCTGGGTGAGATCGACATCATCCGATGCTGTGAAGCCAAGC